GGTTACAAACTGAACTCTCCGATGCAAGAACAAGATGCATTTCTCCCTTTAGGAGGTGCTATTGTCAGAAGAAAAGAAAAAGGTTTCAGTTTTGTTTTTGCATGTGGGTGGGTATTCTGTTTGTAATAATTGTTTGGATACGCTATATTTTTAATATGCTAGTTGTGATAATTTCATGCCAAGTAAAAATGTCCATAGTCATATTTTATGTTCCTAAAGTAACAGAATGACTTTGGAAAAGAAAAAAGAAGTGCCAATGTGGCATTTTTTTTCGATTTTTCCGAAAATTTCCGTTTTCCCTAGAAAAAATCGGGGTTTTTTTCCCGAGCTTCAAAATTTCCAGAAATTTTACTTCTCTAAGCAAGAGATGTTCAGAAGTGGCCATTGCTTGCGCCTCTGCGTAGCAACCCTGGTGTTCCTTGGAGGTCTCCCATCCAAATACTAACCGGGGCAGACCCTGCTTAGCTTCTGAGATCTGGGGAGATCCGGCTAGCTTGGGCCATCCCGGTCGGGGCAGACAAACAGAGACAGATCGCCCACTGCCTGCCTCTGCGTCGCAGCCCCGGACTTCCTTGGTGTTCTCCCATTCAGTACTAACCCGGGCCGAAACGGCTCAGCTTCTGAGACCTGACAAGATCAAGCTAGTCTGGGCCTGCCTCTGTGTTGCAACCCTGGGCTTCCTTGGTGGTTTCCCATCCAAGTGCTCTAACCAGGTCTGGCCCTGCTTAGCGTCGGAGATCTGATGAGACATTTATTACTGAAGCTTTACTCCCCATGTGATGGGAAGGGGGGAGGGAAGAAAGAGACTGCAATATTTTTCAGGTGCCCAAATCTTACACAAAGGCAGGGAAGGTGGGAAGAGCCTCTTGCTTTGGCATGCAGGTAAAAAAAAAAATGGCTCATACGTTATTGCAAGAACCAACAAAATTGAGTCTAGGAAAGACGCTGCCAGCCCCCCCAAAAAGACCTGGAAATCAGGGATCAGTTCACACCCTCTCGGGGACACGGACGGTCGAACTAAGAAATCCTCCCGTCCTTCCGGACCTCTTCCCGCTACCCCCACGTTTCTACAAGGACTCCTTTGAAAGACAGCTGTTGGCAGAATCAGTGTCCAAAGAAACGCAGCAGCTGGGAAGAAAACAACTGTCATCTGTAGCGACCTAATCTTCTGTCAGCTGGACTTTACCACAGCTGTTTCCCTTGAATGAATGCATAGACACTGACCAAAACATTCGAGACAGGAACAGACACACTATAATGGGACAGCGTGCCAATCTTCCCGTAGAGCTGCTCTCTGGCTACAAACTCAAGACCACCTAAACTACGTTAGCTTCCTCTACCTGGCCTTGCAAGAGAGCCCACCTAAGTTACTAGTCCACAAAAAACATCCATCAGCCTATGTCAGGTGTGGCCAAACTTGCTTAATGTAAGAGCCACGCAGGATCAATGTCAGATGTTTGAGAGCCACGAGACACGAACAAATAACACACACACGTTTTTTTATTGGAAAATATGCAAATTTGCTTTTTTATTAACATTAAATGAGACTGCCAAAAATAAAAACAAAAGGGGGGAAAACAGATACTGATAATGATATTTATTTGCCCAATTGTATTTATTTGTCTGAGAAAGAGAAAGGTGGAAAGAAAGAGATAGAGAGAGAAACAAAGAATGCAAATAGGAGGGGGAGGGATGAAGGAAGAGAGAGAGCAAATAGATGGGGAGCGTCCCGGGAGCCGCACAATATGTGTGAAAGAGCCGCAGTTTGTCCAGCCCTGGCCTATGTGCACA